TTATGTGAATGGTACCCCGACGATGGCAGAGGTTAGCTGCTGATTGTGGAAGGTACCGAGCAACATGTGACATGGTGTTCTACTGATGTCCTTATCGTTCGCTCACACTCGAAGCGTCTTCGAAGGATGAGGAAGGAGGAGCTCAGCATGGCCGAATGCAAACATATGGACGACATGTATCCGCCGGCCCCCTTGTGGGGCCACCAGGCTGTAGGCGCTTGGTTCGCAGTTTCCTGTACCAGTTGTAGCGTGTAGTTTCCAGTGTTACAGTTCTGCTTCTTGCTGGTTACTGTGACTAGTTGACTTCTTGCTGGTTACTGTAACTAGTTGATTGACCGCGCGAGGGGGGGGGAGGCCCAAACCGGATTTTTTTGCACCCCCTGGGCGCGTTGTCTGAATTGCTGGGGGGGCTCGAAATCGACACCCCTCACGCAGATCCGCGGGGTCAGGGTCCAAAACCACATTTCTGAAATTCGGTGCCACCCCTCACGCAGATCCGCGGGGTCAGGGTCCAAAAACACATGGGATTTGCCACATTTCTGAAATTCGGTGCCACCCCTCACGCAGATCCGCGGGGTCAGGGTCCCAAAACACAAGGGATTTGCCACATTTCTGAAATTCAGTGCCACCCCTCACGCAGATCCGCGGGGTCAGGGTCCCAAAACACATGGGATTTGCCACATTTCTGAAATTCGGTGCCACCCCGCACGCAGATCCGCGGGGTCAGGGTGCAAAAACACATGGGATTTGCACATTTCTGAAATTCGGTGCCACCCCTCACGCAGATCCGCGGGGTCAGGGTCAAAAAACACACAGAGGATTTGCCACATTTCTGAAATTCGGTGCCACCCCTCACGCAGATCCGCGGGGTCAGGGTCCAAAAACAAATGGGATTTGCCACATTTCTGAAATTCGGTGCCACCCCTCACGCAGATCCGCGGGGTCAGGGTCCAAAAACACAGGGGATTTGCCACATTTCTGAAATTCGGTGCCACCCCTCACGCAGATCCGCGGGGTCAGGGTTCAAAAACACAGGGGATTTGCCACATTTCTGAAATTCGGTGCCACCCCTCACGCAGATCCGCGGGGTCAGGGTCCAAAAACACATGGGATTTGCCATATTTCTGAAATTCGGTGCCACCCCTCACGCACATCCATCGCAAGGCGTGGTAACCCAAACTGCGAATACTCCCTCGGCCCTTTAATCCCAAGGTGTGGAAACCAAGCTCGTAAACCATACACGTCTTACCAATCGCCCTGTGTGGTAACCCCTCTTGTGATCAGTTGGTTTTGCCGATTGCGAATCGGCCTCGCATGAAGTTCCGATACTGCTGCACGACAGCGCCAAAGCCTCATGACTTAGCTCTTCCATGGCCCATTCTCCGAGAGAGGGGGCCGGCGGCAGGGGGCGAAGCCCTTACGGATAAACCATTCATCTGCAACATGGGGGCCATGAAGGAGGGGGTGGAGGTGGAATGCGGCAACACATACACATCATACAAAACATTAGCAGCACATCAGCAGCAAGCACACATTTTCAGATCAGTTATTGGGCGACTTACTCGTACAAATCAATGTCCATGGTGTCGTACAGTATTCGCGAGCAGGCAAGTAGCTGTATACCATGTTATGACAGTAACTGAAGATGCAAACAAGACCTGTTATGCAAACTACGGACGATGGGAACATGAGCTGGTTATTCCCGACAACTTGAATTGCTCCCCCTGTAGCTTTGTGGCTCGAGATCTCGAGGAGTTCCAGACTCACGCAGTGACGCACCATACTGGCCCCGAGGGCATTCGTGTATCCAAGTACGGTGAGTGCAGCGAGCGACCCACGCCCGCAGTGGAGGGCTCCCAAGAGAGGCCCCACAGGAGCAGCGGGAGGACAGCGAGACCAAAAACAAGGACGCTGAGGCGGCAAGGGCAAAGAGAAGGACCAGAAGCCCGAGGGAGAGACGATGAACATCACCAGCCTCCAGCGCCTCGCGCTGTCGCAGGACGCCCAAGGCCGCGAGCTGGCAGCGGCGGTCTACGACTTTTGGCTGTGCCCGAGCAAGGCGAAGTGCATCAAGAGCGGCAAGGAGGCCGCCGCGGACTACCAGAAAGCAGCGAAGGACAAGGGGAAGGGCGACGGCCTTGGCTCACCACACCTGCAGGTGCCGATGGCGATGATGGAGACGATGCACGAAGAGTTGCAAGGACTACCGAGCGCCGAGGTGTTGGGCAAATGGCTTCGCTTGGCGAACGGCGAGAAAGGCCAACTGGTGGTGAGCGAGACGTTCAAGGTGTGCAGGGTGAAGGATGCATACGTGAAGGAGGACAAGCCAGAGGAGGACAAGCTGACGAAGGTCACGGTGAACTTCAACAAGTGGGTGGACTTCCGCCCATTCGAGGGCGATGCGATGCAGGACGGCCTCACGATCGACGAGGTGCGCACAACTTTCCTGGTGGCGATGCAGAAATACGGAGCGGAGAAGATGCAGGGCCAGGCACCGAAACCAGAGATCGTCAGGGTGGTAGAGAGGCAGCTCCGCGCCAACATGGAGCGCTGAACAGTGAGCCAGCAAACAGAGTGCCAATAGATAGTGCAGGAGAACGGCACGGGACTCCGGACAAGGGGGAACGCGGCCAGGCGACATCTTCCCGAGGTGGGGGAGATAGCGCCCAGCCGAAAGGTGATTCCAGGGGTACCAGGGGTCCCAGATGCCAGCCAAACAAGTATACTCTTAACCCTACTCCTGAGCCTCCGAGCCTCTCTCTCCTTCGTCCTCGAATATAACCCCTGCGAGAGCTATCGTTTCACAGCATGCCTCGAGTGATCCTAGCATTCTAGCTAATTGGGAGCGTATGGCAGCAGCAGGTGGCAGCAAAGCGAGAGAGCTGTTAGCCGACGCTTACAGACTGATGCGTCGTCCTCCTCCCCGCGCCCCCTGAGGAGGTAGGTGGAGGAGGCGTAGGCTCACGAGGTGTTGAGCGGCGGGATCATGCTTATGCATCCCTGCCGACGGTCCACTGGAGCGAGAGGCTAGTAGGTCCCTCACTCCAACGGGCTCGGTACAGAAGCTTTAGCCCCTCGTCCGCTTTCTAGTTCCACGCAGGGGGCATTCCATCAGGCAGAGCATCGCCCTTAGATGAGCAAGCCATAGCACTGAGGCACACTGCCCCCCCAGCGTTCCATCCATCCATCCATCCATCCATCCAACCCTTCTCCGACTCCTCCTCCGCAGCCTCATCCTCGTCCCTCATCCCACCTCCCTCCACATCGTTCCCCCTTCTCCGCATTCTCCTCGCCCTCGCCCACTCTCCGGCTCCTGCTGCTAGTGCTACTCCTCCTCCTGCTCCTCTTCACCATCTTCCTTCTCCTCCCCCTCATCACCATCGGCATCAGCATCAGCATCATCATCAGCAGCATCAGCATCAGGAGCATCATCAGCATCATAACCATCATCAGCACTATCAATATCAACAGCACCATCATCATCATCATCATCATCATCATCATCATCATCATCATCATCATCATCATCATCATCAGCAGTATCCCCCTCCTCCTCCTTCTCCTCCTCCTTCTTCTCCTCCACCCCATCCCCATTATCATCGTCACCATCGTCATCACCATCAATATCATCAGTAGCACCATCAGCATCAGCATCAGCATCATCATCCCCATCCGCATCCTCATCCTCCTCATCGTCATCATAATCATCACCAGCATCATCACCATCATCATCCCCATCCTCATACTCCTCGTCCTCATCATCATCACAATTACCCCAGTGCGACCCTACCTAGAAGTTGGAGCCCCTAGGAAAGCAGCATTAGTTGCTATGCTATGCTATGCTATACTATGCTATGCTATGCTGCGCTATGCTATGCTATGCTATGCTATGCTATGCTGCGCTATGCTATGCTATGCTATACTATGCTATGATATGCTATGCTGCGCTATGCTATGCTATGCTAAGCTATGCTATGTCATGCTGCGCTGTGCTATGCTAATATATGCCATGCTATGCCATGCTATGCTAAGCTGCGTTATGCTATGCTATGCGGTGCTATGCAATGCTGCGCTATGCTATGCTATGCTGCTGCGCTGTGCTATGCTGTGCTGTGCTGTGCTGCGCTATGCTATGCTATGCTATGCCATGCTGCGCTATGAGATGCTGGGCTATGATATGATATGCTATGCTGCGCTATGTTATGCTACGCTATGCTATGCTATGCTGTGCTCTGCTATGCTAAAGCCCAGCGAAGCTAAGATGAAGGTGAGCTAAGCTAAGATAAACCTGAACTAAGATGAAGCTAAGCTAAGATGAAATAAGCTAAGCTAAGATGAGATAAGCAACGCTAAGCTGAAGGGACGTAACTGGGGGAACTGCGGGGCGGATACTGGGGGAACCGCCCGGGGCTCCTTCCACTGCCCGACCCCTTTAAGCCCAGAGAGTAAGAACCTTCTAGGCAGAGCCTAGGTAGGGAATAAGTATCACCATCGTCCTCATTATCATCATAACACTCATCAGTATCACAATCATCATCATCATCATCATCATCATCATCATCATCATCATCATCATCATCATCATCATCATCATCATTAGCATAGCCATTATCATTGTTCATCACCATCACCATCATCAGCATCAGCACCATCATCATCATCATCATCGACATCATCCAATCATCATCAACATTAACGTCACCACTACCATCAACACCATCACCTACATCAACACCACCATCATCATCATCATCATCGTCATGAGTAGTTCAATTATCATCATCCACATCAGCATCATCAACATCATCAACATCGGCACCATCATTAGCATCAACATCTCCATCACCATCAACATCTCCATCATCAGCAGCATCATCAGCAGCAGCATCGTCAGCATCAGCATCAGCATCACCAGCAGCATCATCATTATCATCATCATGTACGTCCTCCTCCTCCTCCTCCTCCTCCTCCTCTTCCGCCCCTGCGAAGGCGGGTAGCGCCCATTCGCCCTGGTAGACATTGCCGTTGTCGCAGACCTGCTGGCGGTCTCCCCCCGCGGGCATGGACTGCTCTGGAAGCTCGTCTACTCCACGCCCTTCCCCCCCAACCCACCCCACACGTTTTCCACTCTGCCTCCCCCCAAGTTGCCCTCGAGAAGACAAGTATACTAAGTTACGAGTCTCGCGAGGCGTCCCAGCCTTCTTTCTCAACAGCTCGCGATAAAATGTTGCACTGATCGTGCATAGACCTCACTACCAATCACCACGTGCAGGTCAGGGCCGCAGGCTTGAGGAACCTGGGATGGATTAGCCCCTCCCCCAAGCACCATTACTCGAGTATGGCTGCGGGGCCAGGGCTCGAGGGGCCAGGACTCGTTGGGTCATGCTGGCGTGTGCTGAATGTTTCGATATGTACGCCCCTGCCCCTCTCCGCTCGCCTAGGACGTGGAGCAACCCAGCTCGGCCAGTGTGAAAGAACAGGCCGCGCCACAACCTTGGGGGGTTCCCGAACCCGACTCGGCCAATAAACACGACCACCTTCACGGCCGCGCCTGGCCCGGCCAGAAGCCCGTCCTGCCGAATCCTGCAGCATGCGGCGCTCTTGTGGAAACCCAACTGTATCCATCTCCGCGGTGCTTTCTGACTGGGATTTCGAGGCGAACTGAGCCGTGGCGACGAGGGTCTCCTAAGAGGCCCCAAAAAACCGCCGACCTTGTCGGCCTGCGTGGGGCGTCTGTCCAGTCCCGTCGACAGGGAGTCTTCTTTCGTCCCCTCCTTCCCATCCTCCTCTCCCGTCGGGGGAGAAAGAGAGAGAGAGAGAGAGAGAGATATATAGAAACCACCCTTACTCGTTCGGGGAACGGGTTCGCAGCGTGAGGGGTTCCATCCACGTCAGAGGAGCCCCTTCCCTTTGTCCCTTCCCCGGCGGGGGGGGGGGTCCCGGGGGGAGGGGGGGGTCCTATTCGAATCGTCTCTGGGGGTCCTCCTTGTGAAAGGACTCCGTTCCTCTTCCTATCCATTATGTCCCTCTTTTCTGGTATTCTATCCTCATCCCCCCTGCTGCTGCATTGCTGCTGACCGCTGCCATTTAAGGCCCTTGAACCGCTCGCCGCGCCGCCCCGCGCGGAAAGAGCGCGCGCCCGGCCCCCCCTGGCGAGCCCTGCCAGGCATTCCGTTTCCCGGAGCTCTCGTGCCTGGATGGCTTTCGTTTGAAGCTTCCTCAAGTTGGTAGCGGAGCGCGTTGCGCTCCCCAGCCTCTCCGCGCCGGTTGCCATGGTTACCGCAAGTTTCGAAGGAAGTGGTGTCAACGCATGTCCTATAGCTGGTCCTCAACAAAGCTGGGAGTCCTACGAAGAGGATCTCAGCGCGTGGGTGCTGTCCACAGAGCTGAAGCCAGAACACGTAGGGCCACACATCGAAAGTAGAGGGTTGTTGTCCAACTTGTTCTTCAAAAGCCAAGCCAAACTTCTTGACATGGATCGGTTGTCAACCGATCAAAAGTAAGAGACTGGTGCGACGGGTGCCCTTGGTTTTAACTACATGTTGTCCTTCGTGCAACAAGAAAACATAACCAAATACGAAGTGGCAAAGCTGCTTCATGTCTCGTCTTGGCGAAAGTACACCCATAACGGTGGAAAACTGCAGGATTACGTATCCGAAAGCGCGAGGCTCACTAGCGAGTTTGAGGCCGACAAGTTTGGCCAGCTGGAAGAACTGGTCAAATCACTCATCCTCAAAATGAACGCAGAGCTGCCCCAGCACCAACTCAGCAACTTGAGCGCGCGTCTGGACATGGATGCTACCCTGACTGTTAGGAAAGCCCGGGATGCAATCTAAAAGGTGTTGGGAGACAACCTCCTAGGACAAAAAAAACGTCGACGGACGGATTGGCAGCAGACCTCTGGGGCGAGCCTGAATGGCCCGACTCTCAATGCGAAGAGCCGTTTTACTACGACCACTCTCGGCAAGAAGCCAACTGGGAAAACGCAGCCTACGGAAACAACAAGGGGTGTCTGAGGCGCGGCGACGCCAACCACCGCGTCTCGCAGCGCCCACGCCCACCAAACAACAAAGGGAAAGGAAGAGCCTGCACCCCCGCCGGGTGCAGGCGAAGGCTACGGAAAGGAGCTGGGATGGCAAGCCCCGGCAGGGGATACATGCCAGGCTGGAAAGTATAACGGAAAATCCACGAGCGGACAGCCTGCCAGCTTGCCCGCCAGTTCCTGAAGCAAAAGCAAAAGCAAAGGGACAACTGCGCAAAAAACCGCCGGGGAAATCGACTTACGCACTCGGAGCTGACGACTCCAGCTGGTGGATGGGAAGTGGCGATTTGTCGGAACATCCTGACTGGAGCTCTGGCCACGCCAGTGGCTACGAAAACCACTCCGACTCGGATGCCCAATTAGCTCGGTCATTCGTGGCGGACCACTCTGACGAGCCCGCCCCTCAAAACCAAATGCCGCGACCGCCGCGCGCGCGGGGGCTTCCGAGCCCACCGCCAGAACAAGCGCAGCAACTACGCGCCTTCAGGGCGCAACTGCTCGACATAACGAGCCGGCGCGCCCCCGATCCCTCCAGGGGCAGAGGTTGCCGGAGACGTCGCGCCCACCTCCCAACGCCGCGGCGTATATAAGTCGCCCAGCTACGTCCGCCTCGCGTCGGCCCGCTACGCCGCAGAGACCGGGCCGTCGAGACTGGGCCCCCCGGCCGATGGAATGGCATCTGCCGAAGCGGATCGCGCCGGACCGACGAGCGAGGGCCTCCTGGCCGCTGGAAGAACCGCTCCGGGCGACCGCGACCTGTCGCCCAGCGTTCCGTCCCGACTGGCGTGCTCGGGCCCCCCAGCCGCTGGAATGGGCGGCTCGCGCAGCGTGCCCGCGGGCACAGGCCCGTTCCGGGCAGCTCACTCCGACGGTTGCCCGCGCCGACTGGCGCGCGTCAGCTGTTGTGGCCAGGTGATGGCGCGGAGCAGGTGCATGGCCCACGAGTGCGAGATCATGTGCTTCATGCGCGAGAACGTCGACTTGGTCGACCCGCTGCTCCGCGAGCCGCGCTGGCGCATGGGCCCGCAGAGCGACGACTACGAGGGCGAACAGGGCAAAGACGACGACTCCGACGAAGACGACAGCGACGGAGACGGCGCAGACGACGAAGACCGAAAGACCGCTGAAAGACCGCCAAACGAAGCCGACGAAGACAGGAAGGACGACGACGACGCCAAAAACAACGACCCCGAACAAGACCACCGCGCTTCTGAGGACAACCGCGCTCCTTACGTCGCTGAAGCAATGGCGCCGGAACGAAGCCTGCATGCAGATATCGCTTTCCGCGAAGCCATCGTCGATCCTGGCTGTTCCACAAGTATTTCTGAAGACCGCTACCAACGGTTCAAACAACTCCTCGCCACAGAGTTTCCTGATCTGCGTGTCAGAAACACCGCGTTCGACAGTGCATCGCTTCGCTGGGGGCGATGCGAAAACGGCCACAAGTCTAGCAAACGCGCCTGTTGAATCTCTCAACTCAAGGACCGACTTCGAAGTAGTCAGAACAGGCGCGGGTCCACGAGCCACACCTTTTCTGTTCTCCAAACCACAACTGAAAAACTCGCGGGCCGTCGTCGATTTCGATGAGAATGCGCTTTTGCTGAAGTTGGCGCAGCAGACAATGCCGCCGAAGACTAGCCACGCCGGACACTACTTCCCCCCACTCCTTTCCGCGCGCCCAAGAGCACTGCGCGCGAAACCGTCTGCGACAACAAGACCCACCAGCCAATGAACACCACGCGCGGAACCTTCCACGACCACGCGCCCCAGCAACAAAGAAACGGCGCGCGAAACCATCGCGGAACTAGACAGCCCCGGGTCTTTTCAGATCTCGATGCCGCCTCGTCTGCCCAGGCCAACGCACGACCTGGCCACCGAGGCAGAACTGAAATGCGCCGGGCCCCGGAATCGCGCCTGCAGCGAAAGCTCCCGCATAAAAAGTTCTCCAACAACTGCAAAATATGTGATGTGTGACCGTTTTCGGAAGGCCGCCCCACATCCCGAGACCTCCGGGATGAGCGCCAGATCGGTCAACCAGATTGCGTGCGTCGATCGAATCGAGATCAGATTGGGCACCCAACCAGTCATCTATCGCCGCGTGATCGATACGATCGCGAAGTGGCCCCTGGCAGAGCGGGCTCCGACAAAGGATCCCGCCGGCACGCCGCGCGCACTCTCGGCGGCAATCCATGTTTGGAAGCCTGCCAGACAACATTTTGACCGACAGCGGTGGTGAGCATGCCAACAGAGAGGTGCAAAAATACTTGGAGCTACACGGAGCACGTCACATGCGCCCCCCCCCCCGCGCTCCTGCTTCGAGCGGCCTTGTTGGGCGACGCGACGGGGTCTTGAAGATAATCTTCTGCATATTAGCGCAGATGTTCCTGGGCCACATTGGCAGTGAATAGCTCACCGCCACGGGCGTCAAGCTGCAGGCCTGCGCTGCCAAGAACGCCCCGGTGCGACGATGCGGGATTTCGCCTCAATTCTTAGCGCTAGGGAACTATCACTTTTTCGACGCCGTCGACGAGGCAGACCCCCCGCGCTCCGGGGCCTTCTCGCGGACCCTGCGAGCAGCGCTCAAGCGGGGGGCCATCCAGATCCAGTCGTGTTCTGAATTGCGAGACTCGTTCAATTCGCGATTGGCTGGCACGCTCGGCCCTCCGAGCGCCGGGGCCGTCGTTGACTGGGCAGCCGACGACAACTCCAAAGACGGGGCGCCTGGAAAGGCATGGGCAGGACCAGCAACCGTGCCAGGCATGGGAGGCCCATGGAAAGCGTGGATCCGCACGCAGGATGGACGCGCCATCCCTGCGCACTGGCACAGGGCCCGCCCTCGCGAGCGCAGCGGGGCCTTGGAACTCCAGGCCCAGGCGCCCGCGCAAGAAGCCACGAACAGCAAAAATAACAAGCCTCAGAAGACGCAGGCTCGTCGCCACAACCGCCTCCAACTGCGCCGCCGCCGGCCTTGCCAGCGCCGGCTGCTGCCGCGCCTGCTCCGGCTGGTTTTCCTGGACCTGCGAGCCTGGACTTCCCGGCCGCGAGAAATGGGCCGGCGCCGCCTCCTCCTCCGGCGCAGCCTCCGCAGTTGCAGCCCGGCAGTTCTTCGCCGACTGTCCGGCAAGCAACAGCTGCCGCGGAGACGGAAGGAAGAACGCGAAGTTGAAGATGACACGCCCGCGCACAAATCACACGCTTTGCCGCGCTCCGTCCTTGCAGCAGCCAACAACGACGCCGACGAGTCGTTCTTCGAGATATCAACGAGATGGAGCACGATGGCTGAAGTTGCGGACGCTTGCGGGAGATGCCCAGAAAACGCACGCGCTCCAAGGGATTATGTTCTCGATGCCCCCGCAGCCGCGAGACATCGAAGCGAGCAAAGGGAGCCCCGCGGAAGACGGCGGAAGCAGACCCAGGTTTCGAAGCACCCCGGCTTCGTGAAATAGGAGCTGTTTCGGACAACTTCGATGTAGTTCCGCTTCCAGACGGCGCCTCTGCAGCGCCGCCCCGCGTCGTCCACGCGGCCCCGGGCGGCAAACCAAAGGCCCGCCTCGAGGCGCAGGGTTGCTTCGAGCCCAGCAAGGGCAGCCGCGCGGTAGATGGCCCCACCCTGCATCGCCACTCTGTCCGTTTCCCGCTTTGGCTCGCCGCGCGCATGGGCTTCGAACCAGAAGCCCGGGGCGCGGAGAAAACTTTCTTGCGGGCTGACGCTTCTGAAGACCCCAATTGGGGCGAAACTTTCGCGTTCGTTCGACCGCCTGCTGGCGCTGAGCTGCCTGGCGGACACGCGCGGCGACCGAGGCGCGGAAAGACTCTCTACGGATTGCGCCGTGCACCGCGGGCCCGGTTCTTTCGCGCGCGACCCCTTCCTCCTGGAGCGCGGTTTCGTCCAATCGATTTGAGACCCGTGTGCGCGTCTGTGTGTTTTTGTGTTTCGAGAACGAGCAGTTTCGAAGTTTCGCTGGTCGCCGCGTAGACGACGCCTTGATGGCCGGGGCCGAAGCCTTTTGGAACATGATCGAGAGCTTGCCACTGCACTGGGGCACGCGCGAGCATGGTGACTTTATTTTCTGCGGTTTGCATATCAACGTAAACACGCCGTGCATCACCCTTGACCAAACAGAACATCGTCAGCAGCTCTCATTCATATCTGTTCCTCCACACCGCCAGCGGCAGCCGACGTTTGCTGTCGCGGAGGCAGAACAAGCTACCCTGCGCCAGCGCCTCGGTGAGCAGATTTGGGTTTCGGACCCAACACTTCCAATGGCTCCTTCCACGTGAGTTTTGTGGCATGAAAGGTACAATCGGCGACTGTCAGCGCGCTGTTGGGCTGCGACAAAAACGCCCGCCGCCTCAAGAACTCCCCAGCAATCTTAACGTTTGGCCCAATGTCCAAAGACATCGGTGCATATTCATTCGGCGATTCTTCCAAGGGCTCGCCTCCGCAGTGGAGACGAATAAGGTCGTTCGTGCTGCAACGTACAGGTGGGCATTCAAGAAGCAAGTCCGCGCGTGCATCTCCACGCTGGCAGCCGAGGCTCTCTCGGCAAAAACCGCTTTGGATGTAATTTTTGCCACGGAGCGCCGGACCCAAGAATCTTTGAACATGCCGGAGCCTCCGCCTGGCGTCCTGCTTACAGATTATAGTTGGTCTCTTGTGACCAATATCTACTCTGTAACGCCACGCCTTTCGGAAGAAGATTTTACTCCGGCGTTCCAGAGAGTTCTTGAAGCGATTGTTTCATGGACTCCCAAACACTCACAATACTTCTTTTAGAGCTGCTCTGGATGCCAAATTCTGGAATGGTTGTTGGTCCTCTCACCCAACACAGAAAAACGTTTAGCTCCAATCCGGCCTGGTACATTCACGTTCACCTCAGCAAGCAAACCGGCCACCGCACCACCAGCGAGTGCCAGCGCAGCGACGTCTGCCAGACCTTCGCGCCGGGGTTTCCTGGCTGAGGGAACGGCGGTCGCCAGCGCTATGGTTGCAACAACCATCGGCGCCCGGGTGCCGGCAGCGCCCGGCTGCGCGAGCAAGGCTCGACCTCCGCACCCAGGTGCCACCTCGAAGGCGCCCTCGCCGGCTCCTCTGGCAGAGCGCCCAGCCGAGGAACAGTTCGCAGCGCTTCCGCTGGCACGGCGGCTGAGCAACGTGGAGCGGCAGCTCCAACACAATGCTCTGAGCATGATGTGGTCCGAACGCTGGGCTATGCAGAAGTTCCAGAACAAACAGGATATCTCCCGTGAGCGACAGCTTGAGCGTGCTGTGGATCTGGCCCACAGGGAGTTGCAGGCAACGCAGAAGGCAGTCTGCATGGACAAGCGCATCAAAACAGCATGTAATGATGCTTCTGACAAACCACAGAAATACCACGATGTGTTGTATCGTCGAGACGTTGTTCAGATGGGACACCACATATCCGCCAGAAAACTCCGAGACAGACAGAGAGCGAAGCGAGACAGAGCGGACTGGAAACAGCGTCGTGGTAGGCATGGTGGTCGTGCAGGGACAGCATCGACCGATCCAGATTAAGTTATGGATGGTACGCCCAGTGGGGGCGTCCAACACCAATCCGTTTTGGATGATGTTCGGGATTTCTGTCCAGAGCCAGAGGCACCGCGTCTTGTCGTTAAGAGAGAGAAGTCTCATAGCAGAGATCGTGGTCCCCAGTCCTCAGAGTCTGACGGGACATTGTCGTGTGATGGAGACGACAAAACCACGAATGACAGGAGCCACGTGTTCACGAAGGCAGACCAGGCGCCCGAGCTGAGGCTGTCCACCGATTGGAACATGAAAAGACCGCCTCCGACGGTCCTTCTCCGGCGAGCCGGTCCTCCTCGGGTCCTCCTCCCCAGGTGGGGAGGAAACCCAGAGGGGGGAGGGAGTCAGATACGCATCCGTCCCTAGAGGTGCTCCTCCCCCTCCCCTCCCCTCTCCCACGCCGGTCCTCCTCCGGTCCTCCTCCCCAGGGGGGGGGGAGCCCAGGTGGGAGTCCTTTTCCCCCTCCTTTTCCTCCTCCTCCTCCTCCTCCTCCGTATCTCCGCCTCCTCCTCCTCCTCCTCCTTCCTCTCCTCCTCCGCCCCCTCCTGGTCTTCGTCGATGTCTCAGGGTCGGCGGCACCGGCCGTCAGTCCTTCACAATACGAAAACGAGACAAGGGAAGCGATATGGGCAATTTTCCTCCTCTGAGCTCTGGCTGAGCCCTGTTCGCGCTGAACCACCTGTCGCGCCCCCCCAAGCCCATCGCCCTCCTCTGAGAATGCACCCCTCCCCTCGCGCTCCCCTTCGGCCTTCGGGCCACAACTCGGGTCTCCAGCGGCCGTGCGAGACGATTCAGGCACCAGGCGACCGAGTCGGGACGAAGACGAAGACGCCGACGCCGACGACGACGACGACGACGGACCCGAGTGGGCGGGTCGGGCGGACGGAACCCAACAGGCGGGTCGGGTGGGCGGAACATGACTCTGGGCGGGTCGGGTGGGCGGGACCCTGGCGGGCGGGTCGGGTGGAGTTTGTTCCTGGTCCCACATCGATGTGCATGTCCAGCTACTCCATCTGCAAGGCTCCAGGGCCCGAAACTGGCTTGCGAAGGTCGAACAAGCCTGACCTGGCCAACAAGAGCATGTCTTTGAAACGTTTCTCCAGACAGCGCTTGCATTGACAGGGATATGTCTGCTTTCGGGTGTGTGGGATATTTCCAATTTGGTTGCAAGACGTTGCATTCGCCCCCGGAGCCTCCAGGAGAGGCCCAGGGCGGGAAACTCGCATTCAAAATTCTGACACCTCCAAACCAAGATGACACTCGAGACCGTCAGGAAGCCCCAACGAGGAGCCAAAAAGACCAAGAGAGGCCCCCAAACGGCCTGCCAAACGCCCATCGATAGTGCAACATCGCCTGTGTAGCACGTTCTATGCAGACCCGGGCAGGCACGTTGCAGTCGAGGGCGACGCGGCTGCTGCGCCAGACAGGAAGCGGCGACCGGCGGGCCCGCCTTCGCCTGGCGCGCCTCCGGGGGGCCCTTCTTGCTCAACTCGAGGCGCTTCTTCGCGAACAGATCGTCCTTGACAGAGCAGGCGCCCGTGCCTTTGCTCATGCGGCGGGCGTCGCCCTGCGACGGAGGGGTCATGGGGACCTGGGCTGCGCCTCGTGGACCCCCCCCCGCCGCAGCGCCGCAGCGCGGCTCGGCCTCGGCGCTCGCTCCTGCTCTCGCCTCGTGCTGCTTCGAGCTTGGGAGGGCCGGCCTCGCTGTCGGGAAGGATAGTCCTGCGCCCTCGGTGGGTCTGGCTCGGCCCTTCTCGGGGGAGGCCCGTGCACCCGCTACAGGAAGGCAGGGCCTGCCTCGCTAAAGCGCCGGCGGCGTAGCCATGCGCTGGGTCCTCTTCAGGCACACCTGACTGTGGCGAGAGAGACTTGGCTGGGAGCCTTCCGCGGCAACACATGGGAGCCTCCCAAACCATCTTGCTGGCTCTTGCGGATCGACGCTGATCGACGCTAGTCGACAAACAGTAGACACTAATCGACGCTAAATCTGCGCTATCTCGTCGATTACCAAACGCTAATTGAGGCTAGTGCACTCGGAATACGGAATTACCAGGGTGTACCAGGCTCACATCATTCGCTACCGAAGGAACCAGTAGGACACTGTGCAACATGCGCATTTTTACCCTCGAACGCACTGGAGATTGACTTCCCCAAATGCATCTCCCCAAATTGAAAAGGGACCCCTTGTAGAGAAGCATGACAATGGGCAACGGGAGGCGGAGCGCGATGCTTGACTGTGGAGAGGCAAAATTACGAGGCGGCATTCCCTGTCGATTGCGTGCAACTCGTCGAGCCAATTCTCAAGGTAGTCTGACACCGCCTTGGTGACCTTTGCCACGCGCTTTGTGGTGTCAGCCTCTGGGGCAGGAGGGGATCGTGGGCCTGCCAATGCGCCCCGAAGACCTCGTTGAGCACAGGTCTCTGGACAGGACAAGGAAAGACAAATAGAGAGAGAGAGAGACATACACTAAACAGAAAACAAACAGAGAAGGAGAGAGAGAACGAGAGATGAAGGGGAAACTAAGTGAACAGCAACAAGGAATACTGATCGTTCTCACCTGCACGCGTGTCACGCAACATGTATCTCCCAAAACATCGGTGCCCGCCGTCTTTGTCTTCGATCGTACCCCCCTTGGAGGTATATCGTCCTTGCCTGCCACGCGTAGTTGGCATAGCCCCTCCAACAGGGGGAGGGAGAAGGGAGGGGCCAAGGGGGAGTGAGAAGGATGGAGCACGAAGCACATTGTTTGGACCCTGACGGGCGGGTCGGGCGGGCGATCCCCGACGGTCGTCGGAAGAAATTGCGCGGGCGTCCCACGCGAGAGCGCGATTCCTGCATTCGCCACGTGCTTTGGCCACGGACTGGGTGTGTCCTGTGGTGTTGTTCCTGATCCCTGGAGCCTCAGTCCTCAGCCCTGAGGAGAATCGCTGAGGGCACGAAGCCCAAATTTTCAAACCTACCAGGGTTTCCCGCGTGCCCTCTGGGCTGCGGGAAGTGGTGTCGCACGACTTTCCGGACCCCTTCATGGCCCCAGGAAAAGCCAAGAGCACCCCAAACCTCCAAAACGGCCCACGAGGGCCCCGAGACGGGCATTCATCGGCCCAAAACGCCCAAGATGGTCTCACAACTGCCCCAGAGGCCTTCAAGACGCCGCAAAAGGCCTTCAAAAGGCCGCCCGAGAGGGCCCCAAGTCCGAGTGCCCAAAGCGGGCGGCGGTGAGCAAAAACTTCAGAGAAAGCTCAAGCTAGATTTGATTTCGAGCCTGCGCGTGGCAGGCAACAGCAAACACGTCATGTGCAACATGTTTCCCCCCTGGGCGCTGGGAAGTCTCGCGCTCCTCCTCGCGCGCGGCTGGGCAGCCACGGGCGTTTGCTTCCCTCGTTCAATACTCGATCTCCGCCTGCTTCAGGCTATGTGAGGCGCCCCTTCGTGCTGGCCCTGTCAGATGGATACGTATCGTGAGTATTTGCGGCTACGTGTTGCACGGCCCTGGGCTCGGCGACGCACCGCGCGCAGAAAAGTTCCCACCCGGAAAAAAATTGAGCGCTTGCACGATCTCGGCATACCTCACCATGGGCACCACGCAGAACACAATCCTGCTCGCCGCGGTCGATCCCACGGGGCCGGCTTCGCTGCTTCCCCCCGCCGAACCCCTCGCAGACTGCAGGGCCACAGGCAGCCTCTTCACCAGCTCGCCATGCCTGGTCGGACCCAGCGCTTTGGTCATTAGATCCGCCTCGTTCATGTGGGTCGGCACCTTCTTGGCGCGCGCCTCTTTGTTCGCCGCCCTGCAACCGCAGGTACTTCACGTCCAGGTGCCTTACTCGGCCGACGTCCAGCCGCGAGCAGATCCAGGTCGCCGCCGCGCTGTCGCCGGACGCGGCCAACACCATCTCGAACCAGATCTCCTTGGGCAGGAACTTGGTGAAGACCCCCCTGGCCGCTCCACTCGTCATCTCCACGTACTCGGCTTCGCCGCTGCCGAGCGCTCGCGCGGCCTGCTGCCCCGCCCAGCTATCGACGCCGGTGCATCCGATGGACTCGAAGTCCCCTCCTCTGCTCCCCCTGGCAATCTCGTCGCCAGCCCAGGAAGAGTCGGTCCCCATCAAGATGTCTGTCGGCATCTCCTGATATCGGCAGTGCCGCGCAATCTGCGAAGAGGTCGCCAAGAACGGGGCCGACCGCTTCAACTCCAGCTCGTGGATCTCCAGCGGTTCCTGCGTTCCACGCATGACCAAGCTCGCGGCGAACTGGACGCCTGGCCTATCTGCAGCCAGGTAGAGCGCCGTCGGCGCCGCAGATTGGAACAGCTCCTTCGCGTCCTAGCCCGGGCTGTCAAGCGCCGTCGACACATCCTCCCCAGTGTGTTCGGCCGCTGGCGACATCGCTCTAGTCGCCGCAAGATTGCCTCGCGCCTTCGCCACAGCGATCGCGCGCGTCACGTCGCCCCACCAGTGAAAGCCATCCTCTGTCCAGCTCACTGTTCTCTTCAGGAACTTGCCAGACGCGGCTTCGCCGCCAGCCTCCGCTGGCCCTGCGCAGGGCGATCTCTGTACCTCGAACTCCCCCTCCGAGACCTCGTCGCGCTGAGCCGCTGCAGGTTGTGCTGCGTCGACGCCGCCGCGAAGTCGTCGCCGTGCACCACCGCGCACATTCCCATCTCGACGCTGCCGCGCACCTCGATGGCCACCTGCAGCCCGATGAAACCATTGGCGAGCACAGCTCCGATGACCTTGCGCTGGAACAGCTTGCTCGCGCGCCTCGCCCCGCGCGCGGCCGTCGCTCGTCCTCGCCAGCGGGCGGGGCCGCGTAGACGTCCTCGGGCACTGCAGCGCGGAAGAAAGCGTCGCTGATGCCCCGGGGGCCGATCGTGCAAAATCTCCCCGTTGCGCTCGAGCCCAGCGGCCAGCGCGAGCGCGGGCCTCGCGAACCCTAGGGGGGCTGCGCCCGCGCTTGGCGCGCCGCCTGCGCAGCCGCGACCCTCCGCCGCACGGCGTCCGCCCCAATCTTCCAATGCTGGACTTGCCCGACGCTCGCTTGCCCTTGGCATCGCGCGCGCAGGCCCGCTTGGAGACGCCGCGCGCCCCCCCCCCCCCCCCCCCATCGGCGCGCGCCCGAGCTCGCCCTTCATTCGCCTTGCCCGCGGGCAACAGCTCGCCAGACAGCGCGCCCTCGATGTTGAACGAATCTCTCTCCTCGACGGGCCGTGCGCGGCGCTCAGTCTTTCCTCTGAGAATCGGAGTAAGATGCCAAAGGGATTAAGATCTCATGTTCACTCTGCTCAGAGAGAGAGAGGGGGCGGGATGAGACATCGATAAGACAAGTATCCGGTAAGCAAATTTACTATATCAAGAATGGTAAGGGAGGTGGCCGGCCGGCCAGCGACACGACGACGACGCGGGGCGACCCCGCGGCGCGCGCGAGCGGGCTAGCTCGCACCTGTTTTCTCCTGCAGGCAAACGAATAGCTTGCTTGAGTAAACAAACAGCTGCAGTATGCAGCTTAAGTTCATGTCATACAGTGCGCAGCATGCAAGTGTGATTATAAGCTATATCATTACGCAGCGGAGAGGAGCATATTTACCCCCCCCGCGGCGGGCCTCGTAGAGCCCATCCGGCCACAGCACCCCTGGCCTATACATATACACAACCACCGGAGCCAACCGCAAAATAATTGCACGGCTCAACGGCGGCTGCCAGGGGGCTAAGGGCCGAAGAGGCCCGACGACTCCATCATATAAATAAATTCTCTCCGCTGGACCAGCCTAGCCGACCAGTAGAGTCGCTTACTCGCCCAGCACGCGCACCGCGTGTGGACGAGGATTTCCTTGCATACGCCTGCCGCGACTAAGTCGCGTTGGCGGATCTCAGCCCAGCTCCTCCCACGGGTTCCCCTCTCCTGTTGGCGGCGCCGGAGGCGTCGGGATCGACGGCGCCGAGCCTCCAGTCTGTCCGCCCCCGCCGCGAGGCGAGCGGGACCGTCCTTTTCCATTCTTAGTATAATATGCAGCACTGTAGTTCTTCTCCTTGTTCTTGGACGCCTTCCCCTTCGGCGGGAAGCGATAGTCATGTTCAAATGTAGACAGCGCATGCCAAACCTCCAGCGTCCACCAGACCTCGTCGGACAACCACGTGACCCGATCCCGATGGACGCAGTGCCCGACCTGAACATTATTCACGCAACACGAGCGGGTCGTAGCCGGCAGCGCCGCGGCCCACATCCATGGCTCCATCGCGCGCGCGCTGGGGCACCGACCAATCCCAAGCGTCGGAATACCATGAGTATTCCTCTCTTGTCGTCACGGCTGTGCCGGCGACAGAATGTGGGGATTCTGTAGCGTCATCAGTAGCCCGAGCGTCTGAGACGTTGGGTCTGCGCGGTGGAGGTGGTGGCTGCGGTCTGGCTTTCACCTCATCCTGTGCTCATATTGGTCCCACGGGGTCGGCTTCGCCGCCGTGGTGTGCATTGGCATTTCTGTTCTCACGATCTCGCATGAATTTCAACAAACCTCTAGCAGCTGTAGCTACTGGGATGCCAAATCTTCCGCATGCAGTGCGGAATGGTCCTGCGTCTTTATCCTGGAGCTCTGTCCCAGGGTCTATGCATTTGTTCTCAAGCCAAGAAACGGCCTCTTGTAACAAAGCGCCCTCGCGACGGACGTCGGTTTGCACCTGCCTGCCCAAATGGCGGGCCCATTCCTGTATTATGTCGTCCGTGTGGACGGCGGCGCGAATGCGACAGTCAAGGGCATATTCATCTCCCCGTCGCATCATGTCAATGGGGTCTGTGCTCTCTCTATCGGGGCGAATGCTTCGTTCCAGGTAACCGACAAAGTGTCCATCTGAAATGAAGGAGCTCATGGTCTCGCGAACGATGGCACATATTCTTATGGGCCGAAGACCAAGTTGCATCTGCTGTATAGAGGCCAACCAGTTCCCATCAACAATGCTCGTTACAATTGGTGGGACCTCATTTTCCATTTCCCCTTGCAGTTGTAATCTACCGGGATGGTTTGGGTTTGGGCGTATGCCTGTGTATTCGATAACATTTTGGGCTGCAATCGCCCTAGCCTCCATCCCGTGCAAAGATATATTTACTGAATGGTCTTCACAATGATTGTATGCATATCCTTCGGGCTGATCGAGGTTGATTGCTCCTCCAGTTATCAGCGCGGCCTTAGGCCCGCTGATTGCCGAGAAGTCCAGTCCTATCTGTGATTGTCCGCCTGCCCTCGCGGCTGCGCCGGTGGCAGGTTGCAGTGCTGGTATTATGAGGCGATGGTCCCGACATTCGTTGATCCGTCTTGCAACGGACTGAGAGCTGCGAGCCGGCCTTGCCTTGAAATTGCTCTCCCA